AAATATTCATTCATTAGGTAGCCAGGCCGCGTTTTTTTGTTCATCTTGGAGCAGGATGGTGGATAAAATAAAATACGCGGCCTGACTAACCAATGAATTAATATTTGCTGTAAAATTTTTATAAATACTATAAGTGTAGCTGCCAGTTTGGTCGCCAATTTTGATTTCATTCCTACATGTCACATGCTTAATCCCTTTTTGGCTGCATCTTTTTCACATCTATTTTTTTTTAATTATATATGATTCTTTTTGTCAATACACATCAACAAACCACAGTAAGTAAGAAAGTGATACTCGATAGTAACTAACATTAGCTTCAGGATCGCAACTCTATTATTCGGAACAGACCTATACTTTACATAACCAACCAGATTCTTTATACTATATGGTGGTAATTTTTCCACTCTAAAACAGTGTTAATAACTTCTTTTATAGTAACGCCATGGAATCTAGATTAACAGTTTTTTGTCATCACCCACATGCAGTACAGCCATATCAAGCATCAGTATTTGTGTTAATTGTTTAAGCTAATATCACGTGACGCTAAACGCTCTCTAGTTAGGAGAATTTCATAAAAGTTAGCTAATTTATGCTTAAAAGTTGGCAATGAATGATTAATAATAACCGTCCACCAGTATGATTCTTCTGAAAACTTGAGCTAAAAGTTAATCTAGTTTGCTTGGCCTAACCAATGCTTATGTATCTACACGTCCTTTCACCCTATAATTTTGCTGCTCTAAATCAGCCGTCATTAACATAAATAACAAAAAAAATAACTAAAAATGGACCATTTTTCTCTGAGTTGAAGCTGTAGTAAAAGTTTTATATCGATAGCTTAAGTAACTTTTTGCGTCGGCGTGCGCAAAAAGTTTGGTCAAATGTGAGCATTATTTGGTGAATATTTTTGCACATGTGCATATATTTAGACCAAATGTGACACTTAATTCTAGATGTAAAGATCTATTTGTGTACCAAATTTGAAAAAAAATCCACAAAAGTTTTGTTTGTTGGTTTTAAAGCACAAAGCTATGCAAAGGGCTGTCTATGCTCTGCCCACCACGGGTATCGAAACCCGATTTCTAGCGCTATAAGTTCGGAGACATACCGCTGTGCCACTGGGGGGGGGGGCATAAAAGTTAAGAACGTTTTTTTATGCGAAGAAAAAAATAGGAAGAAACTCAATCAAAATTGGAGATTTTATATCTCAGGTATTTCTTGATGGATTGCCTTGAAAATCGCTAAACTATCACGCCTGTTAATAAAACAATGTGTCCTGCAGGTTGTTTTGGCCGCTCGACACACTACCATGTGTCTTGATCAGATCTACCGAACTTAATGTTATGGCTGTACATCTATATCAGCTCTGCTAGACCTGATGTTACTGCTGTATAACTGTATTAGTTCTGCTAGACCCAACGCTACTGCAGTATACCTGTATTAACTTTGCTAGACCTGACGTTACTGCTGTACACCTGTATTAGTTCTGTTAAGCCTGTATTGCTGCTGTATTGCTATATCAGTTCTGCTAGACCCTACGCTACTGCAGTATACCTGTATTAACATTGGTAGACTTGACGTTACTAAACTATATGCCTATATTAGTTCTGTTAGGCCTGTGTTACTGCTTTCCATCTCACTTAGTTCTAGGTTTTATGTGTTTTTGTTGTTGTGCACGCACATTTGTTAGTTATGCTAGGCCTTGTGTTACTGCTGCACGCCTCTGTTAGTTCTGCTAGGCCTGTTACTGCCGCACACCTGTTAGTTTTGCTAAGCCTTGTATTACTGCTGTGTACCCGTGCTTACTTTGCTAGGCCTTTCGCTATTTTCATGCATCTCTGTTAGTTCTAATAAGTCATTTACTTCTGCTATGAACCTTTTTAGATCTATTAAACATCATAGTAATACAGTTTCCATCAGGTATTTATTATTAGATCTTGCTTGTAATCATGCTGTACGTTGTTTTAGTTGTGGTAGATCTTGTGCTACTGCTGTACACCTCTCTTTTTTTCTGCTAATCATTTGGCTACTGCTGTACCTTTGTGTTGGTTTTCTAGACTTTTAAGCTTTGGCTTGTGCAAAGAATAGGGCTATTTGCCTCTCTTAATTTCTGTTAAGTCTGGAGTTAGTGCTTTGTATATATAGAGTTAGTTCTTTGAGCCTTGTAAGATTTCTGATATTCAGAATTATTTCTATGTATAGTATTCGAACCTGAAGTGGCATTACACAACTCTATTACTTCAAAAAAATGCAAAAGCTTTTAGGAGTCTTGCTGAACTGTTCTAAAAATTCTAAAATATTCTAAGTATCCATATTCTGAAGAAAATAAATGCTGCTTTTGTCTTCTGTTAATGAAGAATTAGTTGAAGGCAGAAAAAAATATATGCCATTATTTCCTATATAAACTTAGTGTCGTGATTTATTTTGCTTAGGTACAGAGATGGTCCATTGGGTCTCCTTGATTCACCAACCTTGGTTAATCCAACGAGTATGGCGTCGTTGCTTAGTAACCCTTCAGTGGATGCAATCAGCTCAAGTGATGATCAACAATCCTTGACATCCAGCTTCTCTGGATGTACAAATAGTCTGCTCGACAGGATGTTGATTCCAGTTTCCACCAGCTCCTCGCCAGGGTCACTTTCCACTACAAAAGAAAACAATTCAGTGTCAACAGATTCTATTATGCATGAACGGGTTGTCACTGCAATGGAAACCTCAACATGAGAATAGCCCAGTTTTTTCCTTATTGAAGAGACCCACAAAACTAAGAGAACCAAAATTAGGTTCCTAAGTATGTAACATAGCTGTGTCTTTGGACAAGAAACTGTCAAACTGATGCCTGCTGGTTTAAAGAAACACAAGCTGTGAACTTGTTTTGGGGGCCACACATAAAGTGCAATCACGTCACTGTTCAGAGTTCACTGTGAACAACAATTTTACAACTCAGGAGAGAACTTTTCGTGTTATTCAACATTCACATATACTCAGTCTATGATTTAGTAAGGAAGGAAGCTGAGCGCTGAACATTAGCATCGATTGGGTAACCCTAAGACACTCTTTAAATTTAAGAGACACAGTGGTTTAAAAGGAGTGGACGTTTCTAAAATGGGATTTTATTTGTTTTACTATTAGTTATGTGTAACCAGAAGTACAAGACGCGACTAACAATTCATTTTAAGTTGTTCTTTTTTAAGTTCAGAAGAAAGATTTAGGATAGTATCGTTTATTTTATGTGCTCAAGATTATTTACCTATTATCTAGTCTGTGATTGTGTTGTTGAAGACACCTGGTGAGCCGTTTTGGTACCAGTATTTGAAGTTTCAGACAAAACTGTAGGTGGCTAGATTACAGCTTATGTTGTTATAGTAAATTGTACATGATAATTGGTATAATATATATATATATATACATATATATATATATATGTATGTAATCTCTATGTTGGAGCCAAGTAAGAATCTTGATATTGTTCCATAAAAAACTTCTAGAGTTTTTAGTGACCACGTTATTACTATATGTTTATTTCCGAAAAATCGGAGTTCTTCTAGTGTCATTACAAGTTTTCCGTTTGTTTGCAGTCGAGACTGAAGATCGTTTGTTCGAAACTATCTGTGAAAACTATATTCTTTGACTTAGTTTCCTTGTAAGGAAATGATAACTTGAAAGTTGACAGAGTAATTCGTAATTATGATCTGTAGAGGTAAAGCGGTGGCTAATGTTTCAAGAGTGGGATTTGGAATGATTTTTACGAGGGCATTGAATAATCGTGTTATGTTGTGTGCGTTATCTTGTGCTCTACGTGTTATGTAATATTCTTAGCCTAGAATGACAATTACTATATTGTACAGACACTGACAAAACTTACGTTAGTCTTTAATTTACTAAAAATAATGCCCACTCACAGAGATAACACGATTTTTCAAATAAATGTCTAAAAGTTGTTTGTTTTTTTTTCACCAGTAATATCGTTGAACTATATTCATATATCTGTCTGTCTGATTCGTCTTCAATGGACGAATATACACGTTCTTACCCTACGGTTATAAGTAGGACTTGTTCAAGATGCGATTGGAAGTGCCATAGCTTTTTTTTTTTTTTTACCCTGGTTCCTGGTGTTAAGGCTTAACCACTGGTAGAAGAAATGTACAGGAAAACATCGAACATATAAGTTGTCTAAAATCCTTCTTGACATTCGACTCTTTTGACGTGTCTCAGCGATAAGCCCCAGGGCTTATCACATTAGAATTCGGGGCTCGATTCCCTTGGTGGAGACAACGCAGGTAGCCATTGCAGTGGAGTAGGAAGAGAGGGCCTGGTCTCCAGTGATTTTGAGAAGCCACACCTCCCCCGAATTATTTCTGAAAATTGTGTGTTTCAGAGAAAGAAAGGCCGATTGCATGATGTCGCTGAAATTTCCATTATGATGTAGGGGGAGGTCATGGCGCTCGCTGGCTGTTAGTCTGCACAGGTAAGTAGTGGTAACAGGTGTACATCCTTCTACTCCACAGTACAGCTTTGCGCTTAATAAACACTAAATAGTTTTGAAAAAAAATAATCATAATAATTACTGAAATAAATTCAGCTTCGTTGCTTTCTAAATATATGTGCGTTATTAGAGACTTTAAAATCTGTATTTGAGTTTATTTTGGACTTATTACTTTGGTCAGTAAGCGATAAAAAGTGTATGTTTAATATTGAAATTTTTTTATTCTCATTCAACTCATGAGTCGTTAATTTGAGTGTATTACTGGTTTTGGTTTTGTTTCTACAGGTCATGTGCTATACAGGGTACGTACCTGGTAAAATGTACACATTGCTCAAGTAGTTTAGTTGTCTTTATTTTGTACTGGTTCAGGCAGTTTTGACGTAGCCTTGAAAGTGACTTCTTTTTTTCACCATCTTTTGGTTATAAAACATAACTATCTTGTTTGTGGCCAAGATGTTATAACTAAATGAACGTTATCGTGGCCCACATAAACCAACTCCATATAAATAATGTGTTTAATATCTCGACTTCATATATCAAATCAATAGAGACACAAGTACAACTACATAGTTTTTTTTTTCTTTTAGTTGACAAATAAGTTTGGGTCTTGCATTTTAAGATGGGGTATTCGTATTTTTAACCTTAATTGGGCATTTTGTTGAATGTTGGTTCCACAATTAACTTCGGTCCAGAGGCCAGTTCCCATGTTAATAATGACTGTTAGACAATTGGGTACTTCTTGTCGTCTGTCTGGTTTTGATGGTGGAAAAAAATGTAAGATTAGAAAATAAATTATCTTCTCAGAAAATTAAATAAAAGTTGTTAATAAAACGAAAGAGGAAAAAAAACGTTGTTATTCTATTCTTGTTTCGCACTTGTAACATATTTCTTCATTCTTGTTTCAAACGTAAAAATCCTCAACCTTTGCTGTCTGCCTTTATAGCATTTTTGTTTGTTTACCTTACTACAATCTATGTGTTATTTTCAAGTCTTACCATTAACTACGTGTACATTTTAATGAATATTAAAGTATCTTGTTGAGTCATGGGTTTCTTTCTCTCTCTTTTTTTTTTTGCCTTGTCACCAAATGAAGAATCCTGTGCGCACCTTCTTTATTATAAAGATATCTCCACAGAACCAACACTTGAATTTGTTATACATTACATGATTCGTTGAAAGAAGACTTCCAAATTTCATGAAACGTTTTAGAAAGGTTACGTATTAGAATTTCAAATGGTCTGAAATTGAGTTAATGGATAAATTTAAATTTTGTAGTTAAATTGTACTTTGTATTGAGTATTTAAATATATGCCGATATATAGTCAGTTTATGACATTTGCCAACAAGATTGAGACACAGTTTTCTTTTTTAACACAAATACGTTTTAATATACACATACAACAGCACAATTTACAATAACAATTATTACAAATAATTATTACAAACAATGATTTATAAACAGAAGTTTCACAAACTTACAAACAATATAAAGTTTCCTTTCTAGTCTAGAACCTCCTTGATATCTTATCGAGGGTTCACGATGAGCGAATTAATTACGAGTTGATGTAGATACGATCCGCTAGGAAGCTAGCTAGCTTTGTCCTTGGCCACACACACACTAGGTTTTCCACGATGAATTTATGTCTTCATAAAATTACTAATGTCTGATGAGAATACGATGAAGTTAAATGATTTGTAACGTTCGAAATTTATAAATATTTTTGGTCAGATATCTTAACTTTTCCGATTGATATGCGTTATAACAATCACAATTATAGCTTTCGAAGTTTTATAGCACATCGATATATATCGAACTAATAATAGACACTTTCCTTAGTGCATCGCTTGGTTATATTTATAGCCGTGGGAAGATTTTCTAGAAAATTCAGTCTTACGTAACAATACTGGTTAAAGCGTTTACTTATATATATATATA